ATGAAAGTGTGGCATTTTGTTTTATAAAACCGTAAAACTTTATGACATCTTTTTAAATAATAAATTATCCATAATAAAATTTGTCACAAATTTTAAATAAAAAAAAACTCTTCCATTTTCTTATATTATATAACATCTTGTATATATGTAAGCACAAATCAAAGAACTAGCCTAAATAATATATCATTTTTAATCATCTAAATAAAACAATATATTTTCTTGATATATTAGGTATAAAAAAACGCTCGACAATAATATCTGAATCAAGAAGTACGCTTTTAAAAACCAGTTCAGACCCAATTTAGTTAAGGATTTAGACATATGACTAGATGAAGATGGTTAATATGTTGCTCAAAACCCAATTAGCCAGGGTTGTTTTGGGCATGGTCTGAACCTAATATGTGAAGATTCTTTCATATGTTCAAACTTGTGCTTGTAGAAATAACAATAGTCTATATATCAACCATATAACTAAATTTGGGCTTGGTCATGACCATTTTAGGACTATTCGGGCCTAGATAAATTCTAGTTTTCATACGTAATTACGCATCGGTCCTTGTGCTAGGTTGACTAGCGTATTGCTCTTAGATTAGCATCTTTGTTGCTCAATTCAGTGAAATTACCATTTTATGTAACACATAGTTCCAAAACTTATTTGATAAAATTTTAAATACTTTTTTTTTGAATTAACCTGGATATCCAACCCGCTATGCGAGAGCTGACTAATCCCAGGATGACCACCTGCTTTTGCAGATAAACCGGAGTCACCGCATTTGAGCATATGTGGCCACAATGAGATTTTTCTTCCTCATTGAATTTGAACTTGGGACCTCCTAGTACTTTTGGCCATTGGAGCCAAGCTCAAACCAATCAAGCACCACCCTTATGGTTTAAATACTTTTTAAGATAACAAATTACAAGACTTCTATGATTGTTATTTGTTTATAAACAAGGATAAAAAGCTATCAACAATTTTAACCATGATCAGTAGCAAATGTAATGTGAGTATTAGGGTATGTTGGGTTCACAAGATTTGGTAGGTTTTTGAATTGGATTACAATAATTTCAATTTGGTTTAAAGGAAAGTCCACAGTGGAAATATGGAAATCCCACAAAACACTGTGTTTAGAAATCTCATGTAGGTAGTTAGTATTTCAAGAGATTTTATGTGGTTTTGAGAAAGCGGTGATGTTTTTATTTTTGAATAAAATATAATTTTTTTTATAAACATAATAATTAGTTATTATGTTAGAACTCAATGGTTATCCTTATTATGTTGTAGGTTTTTTAATATTTTTAAATGAGATGTTTATCATGTATTTAGCTATGTTTATATACAGTTAATTACACAAATTCATACATGGATCTTTAATAAATTGTATTTATGCATAATTTACTTATAATCTTCATTTTTAAGTAATATGCATCAACATAGTACCTCATACATAAGAAAAATGGTTTTTGTCAAATATTTTATAATATAATTAGATAATTATTGATAATCAACAGATGAACTTGTGTTTATATACATTTTAATTTTTTGTCGGAATTCATGATCATTTTGTTGACTCTTTTATAAAATTCTAAACTTTATTAAATGTTCTTAGATATATTCTTCTGATAAAAGAAAAAAGGGCAAATATTGTATAAAATTGGTAGGAATTGTTCATGGTCTAGTCTAGACGATCTAGCATCATTTTTAACAAGTCAAACTACAAATATAGTTTAAGAAACTTTTCAAACCATCGGTTAGAATGGACAACAAATATGCGGTCTTGATTTGACCGCTTTATACAGTTTAGTTTAGTAAGAGCTTTCAGTTATAAACTAATAAAATTAAACATTTGTAAGAAATACAAAAATATAGGCATAATCAAAATTAGTTTGATAAACTTGACAAAGGTGGTGTCCGAGTGGACTTTTGTGCACGTGCTCAACTTATTTTCGTTACTAGAATTTCTTTGAGTTATAAAAGGTACACTCAGCCTGCTAAACTTTGAGCATGTTCCGGAATATCAGAAAATACAAGGAACATGAATAAAAAAAAAGTTCATCGAAATCAATCAATAAATCAAAAGGGTCTCTAAAAATCAACAAAAAAAAAAACCCGAAAAAACCATTTGAAATCAACCAAAAAACTTAAAAATCATTCAAAAGTCAAAATCAGTAAAAATAACTTTGAAATCCATCAAGATGGTGGAATTTAGCTAAAAACACATTGGACGCATTTACGTGCCTTTAATCCATTTAGGCTATGTTTGGCAAACTAGTTGATAAGTTGGTTGGTAGCTGATAAGCTAGCTAATGAAAAAAATTATGTTTGACAAACTAACTGATAAGAATGAAAAATGACAAAAGATGACATATTAAAAAATTAATCAATTATAATATTTCGAAATAAAATTGAAACAAATATCTTATAATATAATATATTGACAAATATAAACAAGATGGTAAAAATATTTAAAAAATATAAAATATTGATTATTATATTATAATATTTGAATTTGTTAAAATAAATTTAAAAAAAATCTATTATTTATGATTTTAAATAATTATTACATGTAATAAAAATAAAATAAATATTTATTAGTATTTTATTAATATAATATTAATATTTATTTATAATTAATAGTAATAAATAATAACTAATATTAATGAGAGTTATAATTGTAAAAGTTACAATAAGCTACCAAAACACTATTTTAAGTAGTATTTTCATGGACGGACCTAGGCTTGTGGTATATGTAGCACGTGCCACCATATTATTTCTTTGTCAAAGAGTAAAAAAATTAGGTTTCGTGAACGGTGCAACCGTATTAAATTTGTTATGTGCCATCGTATGTATTTTAAAACTACAATGGAAACAAGTTTTATTTGGTAGAATGGTTTACAAGTCTTTTATTCTACCCCACACCCAAGTTCGAATCATTGTTAGTGTCATTTTCATAATCAAATAATTATGATGTCACCGTTTAATTTTTTTTCCCAATATGTTTTTCTTATGGTCAAACGATGCCACCGTTTGAAAAAAATTTCAGGTCTGTCCCTGCGTTTTAATAATCTAGTTTATAAACTAGCTTATGTGCATCCAAACATGTATTTAAAAAATAAACTAGCTTAATTTTGTCAAATAACACCTTAATGATGCACTCATTCAACGAAAATTATGTATCTAGCAGTGACAGTTTGACAAATTACCTTATTATAAATAATATAAAAAATTAAAAAATAATACTTAATATGCTAAAATAAGGAATAAAGTAAGGTGATACATGTTAAACATGCCAATTGCCAAACAAATTAAACATCATGCCATAAAAGTGAATAAGAACACAATAACTATTATTCCATTGTCCATAAAATCAACCCAAAATTGTTAGCAACCTAGAGACCCATAATTTAAAGAAGTCAAATTTTTTTTATTATTATTTAATTTCAAACAAATTTTTTAATTCCCAATATTTAATAGCTGAATCCAATTCGATAATAACAAATGAGGAATCGTGTGAGAAAGGAAGTTATGTTAAGAAATATAAAAAAGAGACTTAATCTTGATCATTTTTAACATCATGTCACCCATGAATTATGTTTTAAAAGGAAATTAATCTGTAATCTAGATACACCTCATGAATATTGATATTCAATTATGATTGATTTAAAGAAGAAGATTTTTTCTTACATTTCTTACCGTAACTTTTTTCTCATCGAAACCAACCTTTTTTATAATTCACTAAAGTCAGCAATCAAATTGAACTGTAGGTAAAAGTTGTCACAAAGAATAAATATAAATAATCAATTTAATCGGTTGTGGTCGGGTTCTGATGAGAATGAAAGCTAAGAAGGGATCTCCACTGTTTGATAAAATTTTTAAAATTGGAAATCAATATTAATACGGTATACCGAGATGCAACAGATCAATTCTCGTGATAAACTAAAATTCATAGGTGGGATGAAAGTAAAATTGATCCAAGGTTTAAATCTCTTATCACTTTTTTTCATCATAACTCTTGTTCTCATGTCATCTATTATCTGATCAAATGAAAATATTTAAATCGTAAACAAGACTAGATTATGTTTTTGTTTTTTGTTTTCCATACTAGTTGTGTACCTGTGCAATGCGGCGGAAGCCGTGAATTTTTAATGATTTTGCAGTTTTACTAGTTTTATTTGATAAAATTTAACGATGATATAAGTTACACTTGATCTTTACATATTAATACAATTTAAATAAATAAGAGTTATGGTTTCAATTACAGTCTATCGATGAAAAAAATTGTATGACAGTTTAAAATCCAAACATTTAAAATCCAACATATTTAAACGACTCCATAAATATGTTTGATTTACACCAAGAGCAAAGAATCAAGAGATCGAGAACGAGATGAAGAGTTCTAGAGCAATTAAATGAGAGAACTTTTAATAACTCATGGTAAATATCAGTTTGAATCTCACATTGATGACGAGAAGACATAGAGGTATGAGAAGGTGAAGACATGAATGAAATGTATCAAAAGTATTTTGGGAACATGAAAATAAAAGATAATAATGTACATTGGTAACTTGTACTATATGTTATTTTACTTGTAAATTAAGAGATTTTAAGACTGAATGCATAAAATATTAATACTTAATGCATTATAAATTGTTTTTAAGACTTTTAATAAATCTGATTTATAAGATAATGTAAATTATACCGTACCGTTAAATCATCTATGGTGTAGAAAACGATCCGATTTAATTTAATTTGATTGATTTTATAAATCCAAAAAACAATTTTAACACCGCTAAAAATAATATTAATAAAAGAAAAGCTAAAAATGTAGTTGAGTCAAAGATAAAAATAGAGTAAATATAATATTAAATGAAACCGAAGAGACAATGTTTTGTTTTTTCCCTCTGGTTTTCCGCCGGTGTGGCAGATGAAACCGACTCTCTCATCCCATTATATACCTCCACCTCTCCCTACCCCCTCTCTCTCTCTCTAGCACTCTCTTGCCTTTGCCGGTGCCGGAAACCTAGCTTCTGCATGTGCCCTGCTTTCTTCAACACCAATCAACACTCGTACACATAATGGATCATATTTCTCCTTCCTCCAACTTCCGTCGATAAACACCCATCACAAATGGCTCCGGAGAATAACTGGCTATCGTTTTCGCTATCACCAATGGAGATGTTCACTTCTTCAACCTCTCAGCCACCTCACCAGTATTACTTCAACGATAATATCTATGCAAATGGTATCTTTTCGTTACATGTTACTGATCGATCTGTTATTGCATTCTGTGCTCGATTATGAATCAATCGTATGTTTTACAGTCTCAACAATCAAAACCCAACTCGAATCTGTTCTTCTTTTACTTCATTATTTTGAAAAAAATATTTCCATGATTTCAGTTCTAATGTCGGAAAAAGAAGGGAAGTTGTTGAGGAAAAGACGATTTTTTTTGTTCAAGTTTGGTGAAATAAATAGCTGATGATGTAATTTCGGAGAAAATGATACTGAGTTTCATGGGGAACATATTTGTATTTTGTATTTATATGTCTCTTTGTTGATTTGCATGTGTTGAACTAACGAGTCGTCGGTTTTCCGGCGGTGCAGGTTGGGCCAACGGTGGAAAGACTTCAACGATGTATACAGGAGACAACAGCAACAGTCATGGGGATGTCAAAGACGGTGGCGATTCACCGCTTTTCCGAAGCTTCATGGAATCCCATATCAACCAGCAACAAGCTCCCAAGCTGGAAGACTTTCTCGGCGGCGACACCACCACCACCGCCCACTCTATGCAATCTTTTCGTTACACCGATGGGTCACAAACGGAAACCCAGGACTCATCATCGTTAACCCATTTGTATGACGGAAGCAGCTCCGTCTACTTCTCCGACCAACAAGATCTCAATGGCATCACCGGCACCGCCGGGTTCCAAACGTTCTCAACAAACTCGGGGTCGGAGGTGGACGACTCAGCCACGCATCTAACCGAGTTTGCCGGGCAGTCGATTGAGTCGGGTAGCGAGTTGGCGTATGTACAGTGTCCAATGAATGCTTTGTCACTAGGCATCACCACGAGCAGCAGTGGCGGCGCCACCCATCAGGTATCTAATCAGAAAGCTATTGTAGCTGTGGATTCCGGTGATCAGAATAATTGTAAGAAGATTGCGGATACTTTTGGACAAAGAACTTCAATCTACAGAGGTGTTACTAGGTATGCAAAGTTATTGGTAAAAAGGGTTTTCAAATCATTTGTACATCATGCATTAAAACTTGTACATTTACAGGCACAGGTGGACTGGAAGATACGAAGCGCATCTTTGGGATAATAGCTGTAGAAGGGAAGGCCAAGCAAGGAAGGGACGTCAAGGTACCTACACCCTTAACTCCACTCCATATATTGTATGAAGAACGAACGGTAGATAGATGTCAGGTCTGCGTACATTTGTTCGTTTTGAACCAGATATTTGTGCATTGAGAGTTGTACATTGGTGTTAGATTTGACCGTTTTACAAAAAGATTTGAGATTATGATCATGGATTTCAAATCCATCAGAAGTTTGTTCTTGGTGATGATTGATTGATGTTCGTAAATGTACTAATTCTTGTACTTTCTGTATGTATCTATGGGTTTGAATTTCTGATAGATAGGCTGCCATTTTTCCCCAAATTGGCACAATTTTGTCCGCTGGATTTTACATATTACCCCCCTGTATTTTATTTCTCTCTCCAAATCTACCCATCAATTCCAAACTACAATCGCATACCTAGTCTCTGAATCCTACTACTTAGTGTGCCTGCTCTTCTCTGTGCTTTCGTACATTACATTGCCTTTGCTTTTCACTTTTGCTTTTTCTTTCCTCTTTTACCCCCCCTCCCAATTCTTCATTAGTTTGACCAAGTCAAACCCCCCTTTTTTTCAAAATGGCCACATAAATATTGTTAAGTTACAATAATTGTTGCATTAGATACAGTATTAGCTTTCATGGCGTTTCTACTCCTGACTCCTCGGTTTAGAGGTATAATTTGCGTACATCTTACCATCCGTGTGCGTGCGAGATTTACTGGGTTGGTTTGGTTTGATTTTAATATACGGAGGTTTTCATCTTGTTGGATGGCTCACCTTTTGCTTTATCTGAAAGTAGTTTGGTGCTCTTATCTTGGACCACTGATGTAAGCTAATGTTGATGTTCTTTTACTGGTTATTTTGCATGGATTGCTGTCGCCCGACACTCGATTTTCTGATTTGCAGTGTACTTGGGTGAGTGGATTATTCTTTTCGTTTTCTTTTTGTTTGTATGTATTATCGTTGTTTAATGAGTTGGCAAAGTTTTGGATGATGATTGTAACGGGGTTTAAGTGAATGATCAGGTGGTTATGACAAGGAGGACAAGGCTGCAAGAGCGTACGATTTGGCCGCTCTCAAGTACTGGGGTCCCACCGCCACTACAAACTTTCCGGTAAACGTTTTGTTGTTTGCTTGGCGTTCGTGAATTTCTTTAGAAAACTAACAAAGGAATTATGGTGTATTTGGTTTTTAATTTGCTTCAGGTTGCAAATTATGCACAAGAATTGGAAGACATGAAACATGCAACTAAGCAAGAGTTCATTGCGTCGCTAAGAAGGTTCGAGTTTCTGATCATTTATCTTGTGAATGCTATGTCGAAATCTTCATCTAACAAGCGTTAATGGTTGAACTGTTCTAACGAGGTTTTCTGAGATGTTCTTTATTTATGTTCTGCACAGGAAAAGCAGTGGCTTCTCGAGGGGAGCCTCAATCTACCGTGGGGTGACGAGGCATCACCAACAAGGCCGCTGGCAAGCTAGGATAGGCCGTGTTGCTGGTAACAAAGATCTTTACCTCGGGACTTTCGGTAAGCTATAATCTCAATGCACTACAACAAAATCAGTTTTATAGTACGTTTATGAGTCTCCTAATAGTTTGCTTAATAGGACTTGAGTTTAGAGGACCAACTATTATGCATGTAAATGTGTTAACAATTTGCATCATAACAAGTTTCTTGGAACAAATTTTGAAATAAAGTGTCCTGTTAGTCTTGTTACATGATATTATTCGAAAAAATGTCTTATAAAAACAAGTGTCATGTAGAAAAGTGCGGTTTAGAAAAATCTAGTAGGATACCTTATTTCAAAAGTGACATAAAAACTTATTGTTATGCCACCACACATTCTATTGGAACGCCTATATTTGTAAGTCCTTTAAAAGGACGTTTAGACATATTTAGTGTGCTATAAAGTCGATTTTGTTGTAACGGTGGCGATTTGTTCAATGGAGAGTAAAGTGGTTTTCTAGAATATCTTGTAAGAATTTTGTTTGACGTGCGATGCTGTTGCAGCCACCGAGGAGGAAGCTGCGGAGGCTTATGATATAGCAGCAATAAAGTTCCGAGGCGTCAATGCTGTAACAAACTTCGAGATGAGTCGGTATGACGTGGAGGCAATTTCCAGCAGCTCTCTCCCCGTTGGCGGATCTGCAAAGCGCCTGAAAGTCTCTTCCGAGGTGGAGCAAAAACCTCCCCTAATCAGTAACCACCACCAACTACCTCCATACAGCAGCAGCAACAGTGGAAGCAGCATAAGCTTTGGTGCGGTGCCGCCAGTGTACGGTTTGTCATTTGATCCAAATTCAACACCAATGTATCATCATCAGAGTTTGTTCCAGCATCTCCAGTCGGGTGGCGGCAATGGTGGTACAGTTGAAACCTCTGGTGCGATGGGTTTAGTGGCACCTTCAGCTGAGTTCTTCGTTTGGCCTAACCAGACGTATTAAAAAAATAGGTTTAGGCTAGTGTTATGTTATGGGATAGTATCTTCTTTTATAATCTCTGAATGCTGACCTTCATGTGCTGACTGATGTAGCTTAGTGGTTTAAGTATTAGTGCAAGTAATAGAGTATGGTAGGGGATATAAGTTTTAATATACAGGTCTTAATTAAGCAAGGAACTAGAAATTTATGGTTCCGTCTGATTCCGTTATTGGACCATCGTTGCTTCTTGATCATACTCGTTTCTGTATCCATGTTCGCAAAGTTGGCGAGCAAATGTGGGTGGTCCATTTCTAGCAAAAGATGTATAAGGCCCCGTCTTTCAGAAAAAAAATGTCCGGGTGGCTGAGCCAGGTTTTGGGGATGAAAACGGTTTCATCGGGCTTTGTTGGTGGAATTAAGCTTAGGCTTTGTGGCTCAACTCAGCTCAGCTCAGCTCGGATTTCTTTGGGTTTTGTACTTATCTATACTATATTATAAAACATTTGACAAAAACTCTTAAAAATTATTTTTTATACTGTTTATTGATGAATATTACTTAAAATTCGATATTACAAGTGATTTTGCATAACTTATTAAAGTTTCATTTTTAAATTCGTGTAACTAACTGTAGATAAACATAATTAAATACAAGATAAAATTTTATTTTAAATATAAAAAATCTAAAATATAATTAAGATAATCATAGAATTTCTAATCGAATATTTAGTTATTATCTTTAATAAAAATTACATTATTAAACTAAAAATAAATTATTTTATTATTATATCTAAATTAAATTATAATAAAAAATTGAATTAAAGAAATTACACAAAAAAATTGAATTATAGAAGATATACAATAAAAACGAAATCTATAAAATATATAATTTAATACTAGTATCGATTTTAATTTTTAAATTTTTTTTTGTACTATCTTCAAATTTATATTTTATTTAAAAATAAAAACATTATTACTTTCTCAAAACCACATAAAATCATATTATATTGATAGAGACAAGTAATAAAATCTAAACATTAAAATAAAAATTTATTTTACTGCATTATGTAAATATTCTTCTAGTTTGTACATACAGTTTGGTGATGAGTTGTTTTAAAAAACTATACTATTATTTAAATTTAAAAAAATAAGAGGTACTCCCTTTTTAGTTCAAATAATATTAAATAAATAAATGATTTGAGAATATCTCTAACAAATTCTCTTAAAATTTTCAAAGAAAAATCATTATTTTAAATTAATTATATTATTAAAATATTCAATATAATTAATAAAATATTATTAATCTTTTATAAACATTTAATTTCAAGATTACAAAAATAAAATTTAATTTTTCTTTCCTAAATAATTATTTTTGGTGTGCCTTCTTCAAATTTGGAGAATTTCACCTTCTTTGCAACTCTCATTTTAAGAAAAAGTTTTCACAAAATCTATACTTTGAAGAATTTGTTGGAGATGCTCTTGATCTATTAAAATGTGTCTACCAAATTCAGTTATTTTATTTTTAGAGTTCAGACATCAATATTTGAGAAATTCTATGCAAAGCCTACGTACTTGGTAATTTGATAACAACAAAAGCTGCAAAAATGATAGAAACTATAGTACTGGAAAGGACAACTTCAATATTGCCTATACACAATCCTTTGTGTAGACGTTGGTGCAGGTGGACACTAAAATTGAATAGGCCCGCTAAGATGTCATTTTAAGTGATTATTCAATAATAAGAGGACGTTTAGCAAATGCTTTATAATTTAGTAAGGGGTCATTTACCAAACATTTACCGGATAAGTGCTTAGTAGTAAAATTTAACACTATTAACTAATTACCGGATAAGATTTTAGTTCATCAAAACAACATTGTATGCAACAATTCACCCGGTAAGTGCTTATCGTGGTAAGAGTCGATCACCCTCACTTACCGGGTAAGACTCATGGTTCTTGTCTCGCTCTTATCGGGTAAGATTCTTAATACTTACCATATTTATCCAGTGAGGTAATATGACATGGTAAGCGGCTAGACGCTTACCCGAATAAGTGTTTAATAAACACAGCCCCTAAATATGTCACCTTTTTCACATCATTTCTTATTGATATCATATCATCTTACATTGAGACGATTATTATTTATATCAGGAAACGAGCGACCCTCTGCCAAAATCATTTCCGTACCCAATAACAAAATTAGTGGCTCCAATTAGTTTTTGGGCCAGTTTTTTCAATTTGTAACTTATATTTTATGGTCTGTATAAAAATACGAAGATGATAAGAAATAAAATAAAAAGAAAAGAGGGACCAAATATAATTAGATGATAATTAAGGAGCTTTACAACTTTTTGTTCCCACAAGACCCCCCCCCCCCCCCCCCCATCTAATTCCTAAACCAACAGCTAAAAGATGTGGCCTAAAACTTAAAAAAGGTTTCATCAGCCAATCTTCAAATCCCACCACCACTCCCATCAACCAACCATATACAAACACACACACACAACCACAACCACAACCACCACCAAAAAGACGACCAAAAAGACTCTTTTCTTCTGAGTTAGTAAACCATCACTCCATTACAAGTTCCATGTGCCGATTGAGGTCTTTTAGGTACTTTGTACAAGTGTAATCCTCCAAATCGCATGCGTCTACAATCAATGCTCTCCCTCCGCTTGTTTTCGGTTTCAATTCCGCTGCCGGGCTCTCTCCCTTCAGTATCTGTACAACCTGTGCCATGCCTCACAATCAGAATACATTCAGTAGTTGGCTGTGTTTGGTGTATGGAACAGACATGACAAAACTCATTCTCCAACGTTTGGCATGACATGGGATAGAACAAAAGTTTAATGTTTAACATTTGTCGCGACATGGGATAGGGGCAAGGACCGCTGGACCAGGATTGGGTAGGAGAAAAATAGACCTTTGTTGTTTCACCAAAATAGGTGGAAAGATGGGCATGAACTAAAAATTACTAATATACCCTCGGATGATAATTTTTTTTAATATGCTATTTGTTTTAATGGTACCATCACCCATCAGTGTCCATTGTTGGCCACTTCCACCACTGACCACAACCGCCCATTGCCAACACCACTACCACCGTCAACCACCTCCACCACTACCGGCCGCCACTACCACCACGGTCCACCATCTTCACGTCCTCTATAATCACCATCGGCCACTAGCCATCACCGCCTCTACCGCCATCACCATTGTCGCTACAAGCTCCACCACACCTTGGCTGACTCATAAGGATCTTCCATATCAAATACAACATAGTTTTTCTATTAATAAAAACAAAGTTTTTATGAACCACCATCAGTTTTTCCATTCAAACTTGGTACTATTATATATGTATGCATATGAGAATTGTGTGAAGATGTTTAAATAATCAAATTATTTAAATATTTACTTGATTTATGTCATTTATAATTATTATATGATATCTATGATGACCAAACAAATTTAGTCATATCATATGCGTTCTTAGTCGTACCAAACACCAAACAGACAATTCAGTTCTGTCATGTCCAGTCCAATCATGTCCACGTACCAAATGGTACCTTAATTTGGAGAAATGGGTTCTTTGCCATTTCAAACTGAGAATATGTAGATCCCGATCAGGTTACTCTCCAAAAGAACCATTTTGGAAGCTTCGATGGATATAAAGATAAATGGTCCAAGTTAGGAAGTGGCGGATCCAAGAATTTTTCAGATTCCAGTGGGGGCGGGAGCTGTAAAAAGATGTAAAGTACCTCTTTTTAAAAGGTAAATTTGTATTTTTAGAGGGTTGCCCGGGGTCGGTTAACCCGCCCTCTGCAGCATGGGTTTGACAGTGATTCTAATAGGTGTGGGCTACCAACGGTACTCCCTCTTTAATGGAGGCTAGATGAGCACAAATTGGTCTTGAGTGTCGAGAAGGAGCTAGATAAACACAGTATGTCCTTTGGTGTCAAGTCCCTAAAATGATAGACCTTGACTTTGATACCATATGAGAACATGTAAAACCCCAGTAAAAGAGCAATCGAGGAGAGAATGGAGGTTTCAACAAATATATAGTAAAGGATAGACACCGACAAAGAAATTATTACCCTTTTCATGTTTGGGCGCATGTTCGGCAAGTGATGAATGCATGCTGAAGCTGCGGACATTGCACGCTTGAGTTCGATCCTTTCATAATCATCTTCTAAACGAGGATCCACGAGCTCTTTCATGTTACTTTGCTCCAGAAGTGGCTTTGCCTGGACAAATTAACAAAATTTAATTTCGTAGTCGAATAATTGAATCTTGATAACGAGAATAAGACATACCCAGATAACAAGGCTTTGTCGACATGAATCAACAGCACGACGGCCAGTAATAAGCTCAAGCAAAAGAACACCAAAAGAAAATACATCGATCTTCTCATGAACAATTCCATGCATGAAATATTCAGGTGACATGTACCTGAGACATGCCATTTTATTAAACATGTGAGAATATATGAAACCGTCATATTGATTTCCAAACGAGCTCTTGAGAAAAGAACAGGTTTCAATATATATATATATATATAGAGAGAGAGAGAGAGAGAGAGAGGGAGGAGAATTGGTCAAAGTCTAGCCGATGTGGGACTCTAACTGTCTAACATATGCAATTAAGCAATATGTACATGAAAACGCAATACCAACAACAACTAGTACAAGAAGAAAAACCGAAACCAGCGAATGGTATAAAGGTACAACATACCCAAAAGTCCCTTCGATGGGGGAAACAACATGGTGAACCCATTTGTCTGGGAGCCATTTCGCCAGCCCGAAATCAGATATCTGCACAAATTTGACGATCCAATGAGGTGTTAACGGTGCATAAACAATAAGATGTAGAAAAAAGAGGAAGAGGAAGACTAATTAATTACCTGAGGTTGATAGTCTTCCATCAACAAAATGTTTGAAGCTGTGATATCCCGATGAATTATGCGCCTATGACATTCACAATGGAGATATTGCAAGCCTTGGGCCACACCGATCGCCACCTTAAACCTTAACGCCCATTCTAATCTTTCTTCACGATCTGTACAAAAGACATACATGTCCATATCGATAGGATCAACACAAAAAGAGTCGATTAGCTTTGTGAGATTAAATTACTCTCCAAAAGAGCCGAGGGACCCATGTACGAATGATAAATGGAAAATGTAGTTACTATGTAGTAAAGTTGCAAGGCTGCCATGAGGTGCGAATTGGAGGACAAGGTGCAAATCGGAATCAGAGCTAAAGCCGATCAACCTAGCCGCATTCGGATGGTTAATGTGAGCGATGATCCCGAGCTCCGATAAGAAATCCCCGACCCGATCCTCGTCTTTCTTTTCTTTTTTTGTTATCCTCTTGACGGCCACAATTTGGCCGTCGGGTAAGCATCCTTTGTACACATCCGCGTGCCCGCCTTGTCCAACCAAATTACCTACAACATCATTTGAAAAATTATCCAATATATATTATCACATTTTATTCCTGAAAATTATTAATAAATAAAATAAAAAATGAATTTAAGTTGCTTTATGATTTGACCCAGACAAGTCAAAGCAAACGGTGTTGGTAGACCGATGTTTCAGGAATATCTGGCCTCACAAGCCACGTCCAAGATATGTGATTCAGACACGACACAATAACCTCATTAATAAACATCTCCATCCCAATATTTTTTAAAACCACTAATAAATATATAAAAGTATTATTAAAATTATGAGACCAGATTGTTCTTGTAAGTTATGAAATCACATAAAAATTCATGTTCTTGTGAAATTACAGTATTTTAATGTGAAGTTTCGAAGTTATTTTTATGATTCCACAAAAATAGACCGGTCTCACGTGAATTCGTAAGTGCTAATAAAATTTTGCTGAACTAATTTTGTTTTTGTCATTTCACTTTCTTTCAACTTTAAATATTAAACTAATCATTTATAGATATTATTATAATTAGATGAAAATACAATGATCCTTTAAATTTAAAAACAAAATATAGGATATGAATTTAAATATTTAATTAATATGGATGTTTGGTAAAAACAGGTTTGGGAATGCATCCCTCGTGACTCGTGGGTGGAGGAATGTTAGACAAATTAGGTTCGTTTCACATCCTCTTCTTGGTTCAGGTTTCTTTATGCTTATATTTCATTTTACTTAATTTAATATGTTTTGTTATTAATATATAGAAAAAGTTGAAAAAAACTCAATAAATTATCTGAATTATTAAATTCATGAACTATTTTTTTATTAAAAAATCATTAAATTTTCTCATTCTGAATGATTAAGTCCTCTTTTTGGATGAAAAAATATTTTACAATTTTATATTATTAAAAAAATATTTTACAGATTTACATGGAAATTAATTGCCACACAAAAGAATATAAAATAGAAACTTCATAATCCAAAAAGAGTTATTCATAGACCCGACAATTGTAGTTGGACAATCTTACGGTCAACTTAATAAATCCCATTGTTTGACTTATTCTTTTGTTTCCAAATTACATAGGAGGTTTTTAGGATTGTTTATAAAAATAATTTATTAATTTAATTTGGTATGATATCGTTATAAGCATTTTTGAATGTTTGGATATACAACTAAAAAACTAATTGCAAAAAATATTTCAAATAAATGACATGTTTAAAGCATCTTTTTATAAATAAAAAAAGGACAATAGTACCTATGAACTATAAAAATAGTTATCAAAAAACCTTTTAACTAAACGGTATCGTAACATTTGACCTTTTTTCTTTATTTGTTGCATGAGTCATATATAAATATTATATATAAAAAAACTTACTAAAAAAATGTTGTATTTTTAGAGTAATATATCTTATAAATTAAAAAAGTAAGACATTTATTATATTTAAATTATTTTAGAAATAAATCATGTAGATGTTTGAACTTCCTGTTTTAACATGATTGATATATACAATTTTAATGTGGGAATAAAAATATTATTTTAAACGGTTATGGAAAAACAACAACGGGGAAGACGAACAGTTGCGGTCTTACCGGTGCTGAAGCCGTCCGTCGCCGCCGCAAGTTCTTCTAACGTGAAATTCCGCCACGACGGTTTCGGAACCGCCCAATTGCCTTCCACCGTCTCCTCCTTCCCATGATTCCGACCTAATTTCTTCATCAAACTCTTCCTCGAGAACCCATAACCGGCTAGCAACGGCACCGTCGAAAACTTCTTCAAGGACTTCCGTTTTAAAGTATCCACCAAATTTCTCCACTGCAACGACTGACCCGCTGCTCTGCCGCCACCCTCCTCCTCTTCTCCACCGCACTCGGTTGCAGGAGATTTGTCGTTAAAAGACGAGCCACGGCTGCTCAGGCTCCGGCTTAGGCTGCTGTGGTTGTCGGAATCCGAACCAGAGACGGGGATTTCCAAGACGCCTCTGGGAGATTCTTGCTCCCCGTGATCATCATCATCTTCGATCTCTATAATCTTCTGATTGTTTTGAGAATCTACAATTACAATATGCGATTAAATTTAAAATCTCTCATAAACTACAAAAAAACGCATAAAAAGAAAAACGAAAATCGAAGGAAGTGAGCCACCGTTCATCTGGAGTGAAGGGGGGGTGGTTAAATTATAGGGTTCCGGTGAAAAGTTCAGAAGTTGAAATTGGAAAACATTGGTCGAAGGGATATCTTGAGAGGGAATTATGCTTGGAAAGGTGGAAATTGGGGGTGAATATGGTTTCCATATTTATACACATTCTCCAATTAAAAAAGGATAATATAATTATAATGTGCTTTCCCCCAACTCTTTCTCGGCGCCATTTTCACCAAATTCAATGTTACATATGGAGTTAGTATTTTTAATTTCATTTAATGTTTTAAGTGTTAACAATCATCAACACACATTGCATAATTTTTATAATTAGAAAGGTACTCGTGCGAAAACATCGAGACATATCTTGATTTTAATATTTTATTTTATTTTTTATATATGTCAATATAATACAGTTTTATGTTGTTTTAAGAAAACAATAATGTTTTTATTTTTGAATGAGATGTAAATTTGAAAATATCATAAAATTTTGAAAAAAAAATATCAATATTAATATCAAATTAACTATTTAAAAGTTCTAATTTTTTTGTAATTTCTTTAATTCAATTTTTTATTATAATTTAATTTAACGTAACGAAGTAATTTAATTTAGGTTTAATAATATAATTTTTTATAAAGATAATCATTAAGTATTCCGTTACAACTCAATGATTATCCTAATTATATTTAAGATTTTTTATATTTAAAATGAAATGTTTATCATGTATTTAATTATGTTTATTTGCAGTTAGTTATACGAATTCAAAGTTAGAGCTTTAATAAGTTGTAATTACGTACAACTTACTTGTAATCTTAAATTTTAAGTAATATGCATTAATAAACAATACTTTGTGCATAAAAAATGGTTTTTAAGAGTTTTTGTCAAATGTTTTATAGTATAGTATAAATAATCAGTTTAACAAATATTTTAAATAAATTATCTGAGTGATAAATATAATTCTTTTGACTTTTTATGTAATTTAATCAATTGTTTTTATAAGATAGTTATGTAATAAATTTTTATGATAAATATAATGTACTATTTTAATACACATTGGATTATAAAAGTGCACAAAAATCCAAAAAACCGACCTAATGCAACTTTAAAAACACCCAACTCAAGTTAATTGCATGCTAAGTGATACAAGATAACATTATGCCACAACTATTGGGTTGAGTTCTTCAAACATCTTCAAACCAGTCAATCTAACACAAATAGACCACAACTTCTCATCCCCAACCTAATTGTTTTGCCGAACGGTAACTCTCATCCCCTTTCTGACTATTTAAACTCATGGGAGCAACTTAAACCTCACCTTGATTGGGGTGAGGGACTGACTAACTTCAAAGAAAAGAAGTTTGCCCAAATGAAATTTATTGATAAAGAGACTGGAGTCAGTCCTACGAAAATTGGAGTCACCAGCTTAGAACCTTTGCTTCATCATCCTTCCAATATATCTAATAAAAGTCTCGACATTATTTATGTCATGTTTGTTAGCAACTTAATAAGCTTGATAAGACTCACAACTTATTTGGCCAGCTACAAATGATTGTTTAGTAGTGGTTTAATGATATAAAATTGACTTACAGTAATAACCTAAACCCTCTAATTAAAACCTTATAAAGGTCCAGGGGTGTGGTTGTAAGCTTTCTTGCTTTTCAGGGGCTAACTTTGTAAATAGAAGATTAAATGGAGTAAACCCTCCTCCCTTGCTCATTTGGAATCAGTTGCATTTGAGGGAATTGGAAGTAGGGGAATTTTGGGAGAACGTCAAGCTCTTTTTTTTTTTTTTTTTGGAAAAGGGGAACAGAACCACAGGAAACAATTTATTGAACATCAAGCTCTCTTGAGGAAATTCATGGAGAATCAAAGGTATTGGGTGAAAGGGAGTTTTCTTCTATAAGGTAAACTTCCTCTTTCAAGCCAGTAATCTCCTCTAATGGAGTTTTTGATTTCTTGTTCATAGTCTTTTGCATTTTGAGGGATTTTAGTTGAAATTATCATCTCTTTGTGTGTTGAGGGTTGGATTAATGTTCTTCATGAGATTTATCATGAGAATGCCATTTTGTTGATGAATTCATTAACGTAAATAAGGGTTTCTAATATAGAGCATATATTATTGATTTTGATTATGAGTTTGAGTTGTATGATCCGTGGTTTAAGTGAATGGGATGGAAATGTTTTTTAATTGAGATTATTGATTTTAGATATCATTTGAGCATGATAATGGTTGTTGATTGTGAGTTTATAGTGAAACTCAGAACTATGCATGAAATGGACGAACCAGTGCAAACAGTGCCAGGAGCGACCTGGCACGCGACCTAGGTTGCAGTGCACATGGCACTGCCTACTGTTTCACATGTGGTTCTGTTTGGTTCACTTATCTATTTGATGTGAGATCCAGATTGCATTCCAGAAGGGTAAAACTAGATGGAAATTGAGTTAAATAGGATAGTCTAACACCTCTTATAACTCATTTAATTCAGGTGCTGGTTTGAGCTTTAGTAGCCGCTAGGACTGTGTGGTGGTGAGTCGAGCACCAAATGAGTTCCCTTTTCCTTCTCTAAATGTGGAATTATTTACTAATGTTTGTAAGACTCTGATTAAGGGTCTTTATAACTTGGCATTAAATGATTACTCGTTAAAGCATTGTTTATCACATGTGATAATGTTTGTGGTTACTTGTTTGAGCATGCATAGTGGGATTAGTGTACGTTGGATAGTGGAATCCGTTGGGAGTATTTAATCCATGTGTCTTGGATTCTTTTATGAGCACAATGTGTGTAAACATCTTCTTGGGCCTTGATTACGACGTCACAATGGAGTGACAGTGGTCTATGGACACTGTGCTAAGCATGCGGTTGTTTTAATTCATTAAACACTTGGATATCTTGGGTCGTTACGACGACTTGTTACTGTTATGAACGGATTTTCTATGCATGTTACTGGAATTCATAGACTTCTTGGTCTAACCCTCACTTTTTAAATCTAAACCATTTTCAGGCAAGTGTTTGTAGAAAGTTCTTCCAAGGGCAAAGGGAAGATGTGAGAAGGTCTAGATGTGGCTTGAATAGAAGACGAAGCTTAGTTACCTTAGTTTTTAAATAATTTTCAGTTATGGATGTTTACCCGCTCCAAACTATTAAGATATATTATGTATCTTTGTCTTGTCATACTTTGGGACCATTATGGCACTTTAATATATCTACCTTTAACTTTTTGATTTTTAGGTTTGTTACACTCATTTAGTAAGCTTCTAGATAGGGGTTTTATGTAGAAAGTTAAACCTTTTTTTTTCCTTCAAATATGCATCTTCTAATTAAAAATCACGTTCTTTTTCATCTATGAAAAAACTCTTTCAAACAAAAATCTTCTCAATTTATATAGAAAACTTTATCCATATCGGACTTGATAGTAAACCAACCAAACGCCTTTTTAGTTTGTTTGTTACATAATGCAAGCTAAGTGTGTTTCATCACGACCAATCCAACTTAATCCAACCACAAACCAATATGATCCCTTGTTAGAAGACGATTTTTATACAGACGTATGAGCATATGCGTTTTACATACATGCGAAAACAAATTGAGTGCCACATAAGAAAAAGACTATATGTTTTGTCTGAAAGTTCATATGTTAAATATATCAAATATATTTAATTTGAAAAAGGTTAATCAAATGTATTTATTATTTGCTATTTTGAAGAAACCATTTAAAACTTGTGATATTTATTTTCTATTTAATTTTATAAACAAATAACATTGTTTTTGATGGATTTTATTTATTTGGTAATTAATAATCATCTTAAACATCTAAAGCTACTGATTTCTATTTATAAGTTTTTTTTTTCAATAAATGATATTTTTAGTCTTTAATTCTTCATCGGAAAATAGAAATTTTATGCACGTGCGTGATTATTGGCGTAATTCACGCTTTATTTGGATGTTGGTTTAAACCATCAACGAACAAAACGAGAAATTGGCATACGAGGGTGTTTTGGGTATTTCATTTTAGTTTGGTGTCTTCTCAATCTATTGATGTGATGGGCTTCAATCCATTTTGACCTTTCTCTCCATAGATTGTTAATAGCATTCAACGTGTTTTTTAAAATTAAGATTTTTTTAATGTTTCAATTTTATTGCGGTTTACGTATTTGGTTATTTTTTTTAATTTTTGTATAAAATTATCGGATTTTAATAAAAAATTCCAACTTAATCTTATATGTTAATAAAAACTATATTTCCCCTTATCTTAATTCATTCTATCATAATATTACAGTGGTCACTAGGGCTATAAACGAACCAAACGAACACAAACAAAATTTTGTTCATGTTCGTTCGTTTAACTTAACCGAACAAACGAATGAATACGAACGGTAGACGAACAAAAATCTTTGTGTTCATGTTCGTGTTCGTTCGTTTAGAAATCAGATGTGTTCGTGTCCGTTTATGTTCATTCGTTAACATGCTAAACGAACGTAAACGAATAGGTTAAACGAACATAAACGAACAAACCTAAACGAACAGTGAAAAATGAAAAGGTAAAATATTCAAATAAGGCAAAATGATTATAAAATTTAAATCTAAATAAATTCTAAATAGTTAAAACTTAAATAAATATTATTTGAATTCAAACTAAATAAATAAAAGATTATATATTAAATTTAATATATAAACGAACGTAAATGAATGAACATTCACGAACATAAATGAACAAACGAGACTCTTGTTCATGTTCGTTCGTTTAACTAAACGAACAAAAAAAATTGTTCATGTTCATTTATTTATTAAATAAATGAACATAAACGAACTTCCCGTCGAACGGTTTGCTGAACGTTCGGTTCATTTACAACCCTAGTGGTCGCCACCGTTACCAATACCTCCACCACTATCATCACCGTTGCCACCACAACCACTAATTAATATTATTATTAATTTTATTACTGTAGAGTATTTTGGTCATTTCATATAATTTTATTACAATTCTAAAGTTATATTTAATGAACCAAACAAATATAATCCGATCCATTTGAAATATTTCATTCTAATTTCTGTTAATCAAATACATGGTCAAAGTTGATTAAATTAT